AAAAAAAAAAAAAAAAAACGTAAAAACAAGGAATACAAAGAACTGCCAACCAAAAATCCCCTCCCCAAAAAAACTTTTTTTAAAATTTATTTTTCAATTTTTCTTCTCTGCCTTTTCTGTTTTTTATTTTTTATCATTTTAAAAACTTGTATGTTTCCAAAAATAAAAATATGGGGTTGTAGGGATTAAAAATCCCTACAACCCTATATTTTTTTATTTTTTTTTATCCATTATTTAATTCAGGAAAAATATGGTAAATTTGCGTCCGCGACGCGAACGAGGTCGGCCGCGGACGCGGCCGTATATACGGCCGCCATCCGAGCTCAACCCTGCGGACGCGTCCGCGGGTGTTTCATAGCCGCTAGAACATGGAAATATACACTGCCACACTTGTTCTATGTGTGTGTGTGTGTGTGTGTGTGTGTGTGTGTGTGTGTGTGTGTGTGTGTGTGAGAGAGAGAGAGAGAGAGAGAGCATGTATCTCACACACTCATACACACACACACACACAGTAAAAAAAGAAAGTGTGGCATTCATTCCATTTTGCTTTGACCTTATGCTACTTTCATCCATAGGATGAGCAAAACCGAATGAAACTGCCGCTAGAACATGGATGTATACACTGCCACAGGGTTGCCGGCGTTCAGGACGGGCCGAACGCCCGAACGTACAGGACCCCTTTGGAAGGCGTTCGTCCGTTCGAGCCGAACGCGGACCAAAAAAAAAAACAAAAAAAAAAACAGAAACGTTTTCAAAAAATTCCGAAAAAAAAAACAATGTTATGGAGAAAAATAAACTAAACAACATTTGCCTGGGCACTACATCCAAATTCTTTACCAAATTTGAATTAAAAATCAAATAAAATAAATAAACACTATGATAAAAATAAGAAAAAAAAAAAGAGAATTAGAATGAGTGAGTGTGCCAGCAACTTTTTGACACCGCCATCGTTGCCGATTTTGAATTATTTTTTGGCATTGACAAATGCCCTGAACATTTACAGGCATATCTCATTAAATTGTTTTCAAAAAATAATAAAATTTTTTAGGCCCTGAAATAAAGTGAAAACAAAAAGTTAAAAGTGAAAAAAAACAAAATAGTGAGTGGGCGAGCACGTTTTGACACCCCCATCTGTGACGATTTTTAATGTTTGTCTGGCTTAGCAGAATGGCTTCAAAATTTATAGGCGTGTAGGTTACATCATAGAGAACTCACAAAAAAACAATCAGAAAAAAAAACGTATTTTCAGGCCCCGAAACGTTTTTGGCGGGGGCCGAATCTGGAGGTGTTCGGCCCCCGAACGCCTGGGGGCCCCCGAACGTTCGG